GGCCTGGGTGCTGTCCTTCAGCTCTTCAGCTCAAGGCTAGCGTTCTACCACTTGAGCCACAGTGCCACTTCTGGCTTTTTCTGCTTATGTGGTGCTGGAGAATCGAACCCAGGGTCTCATGCATGCAAGGCAAGCACTCTACCACTGAGCCACCTTCCCAGCCCCTTCAGCCCTACTTTTAATTGGTTATTTTGGAGTTAGTCTAGTGAACTTTTTTAAAAATCCTGGATGGCCTCAAACTATAATCCTCTAGATCCTGGCCTCATATTACAGGCATAAGATACTGGTAACAGGATTCTATCTTCCTTTGTGAATGATAAAACTATTCCAAAATAAAACTATAGCACAAAGGTTCTGTGAAGAAAATTAAGCTTCTTCCCTAGGAAAACTTTCACAATGAAAGTGGACTACAATGAGATGTTGAAATTTTTTTCAAAGGATATAGGTTTACTCCTTTGGCATGTGGCAGATCAAAATGACCTTACCATTGTACCATTCTATAAAAATGGTGAAAAAAAATCTCTTTAGCTAATTTTCCTAAAAACCCCGGTCAGCATTTATAGAGCCTACAAGAGCACACATCTAAGTGTCTGGGCTGAAGCGGGGCTGCTTCCCTTCTGAGGGTCAAGCCCTGACTAATCAATTAAGCACGGAGTCAAACACTGAGAGTGGAGGTCAACACAAGAGAAAGAAGTAAAGTGTGAGCATTACCTGTTAAAAATGTCATCATCTTCTCCTCCCCAGCCCCAATAATTATTAGGAAATCCATTGATGGTAAGAAATTGTTGTTTACTTAGAGCAGAGACACCACCAAAATACTGAACATAAGGTAGGCTGGGGGAAAAAACAGAAGACCCATTGTTAATACATTTTGTCATTTCCAAAAGAAAGCTTGCTGGATACATGAATACTCTGAAAATTTTTTAATGGGGGAGAGGGGATTTTGAGGGCTTTTGTTTGTTTAGTTTGCTTTTCTATCAAACTCAGATTATACTAGAAAAAATTCAGATTATCAAATGTAGACTCTCTTTTCAAGAACATAGTGCTGTTTCTATGATTACCTAGAAAACCAGGCAGTGACAAAGAGTGGAGCATAAATCAGTTTTTCCATTGTGGCTCAGGACTCTGTTTCTTTTCTTTTCTTCTTCTTCTTTTTTCTTTTTTGTTGGTAATGGGACCTGAACTCTTGGCCTGGGCATTGTCCCTCAGCTCTTCAGCTCAGGGCTAGCACTCTACCACTTGAGCCACAGCACCACTTCTGGCTTTTTCTGCTTATGTGGCACAGAGGAATTGAACCCAGGAACTCAGGGATGCAAGGCAAGCACTCTACCACTGATCTACTCCCAGCCCAGCACTCTCTCTTTCTTATATGACTGCTCCTTCCAGTCAACTCTGCATCTGAGATTGCTTTGGTTTCTCTGTGCCACTTTGTCAGGCTCCTTTCCCTCTCCATCCTTTCTAGCAAAAGACATACATAAAAACAGCTGAGGCAGCATTTCTGGAAATTTGCTATTGTAAAACTTTCTTGAAAATTTCTACTTTATCTTGACTTAGTAAAACACATAGTGATGAGCCTGTTTTTACATATTTCCAAATAGTAAGGTCTTTCTGTGGCTACTTCAAGGACTTCAGTTTTGACCTTAAATATAACTTTATACCACATTTAGGCTCTTTATAGATTCAAAGAGACTAGAGCCTATCACATAAATTAAGCAAAACTCTAGCTCAGACTTGGAAAGGAGAAGTCAGCCAAATCAGATAAAAATATGAAATCAGAGATATTAATTTACTCTTTATTTTTTGTGGGAATACTAGGGTAAGGGAAGAGGATCTTGATTTGTAGTCTACACTGGCCTCAAATCTGAGATCCCCCTACCTTAGCCTTCCATATGCTGGAAGTTTAGATGTGTTACCACCACGTCAGTCTTCTCCATATTCTTTTTTTTTTTTTTGTCGGTCATGGGGTTTGAACTCTGGGCTTGGGTGCTGTCCCTGTGCTCTAGAGCTCAAAGCGAGTGTTCTACCACTTGAGCCACAGTGCCACTTCCAGTTTTCTAGTGGTTTATTGGAGATAAGAGTCTCACGGACTATCCTGCCTGGGCTGGCTTTGAACCTCGATCCTCAGATCTCAGCTTTCTGAGTAGCTAGGATTACAGGTGTGAGCCACTGGCGCCCGGCTTCCATATTCTTCTTTCTTTTTATGAAATAGAGTCTAGGGCTGGCAATGTGGCTTAGTTGAAGAGTGCTTGCCTAGCATGCATCAAGCCCTGGGTTTGATTCTTCAGTACCACATAAACAGAAAAAGCCAGAAGTGGTGCTGTGGCTCAAGTAGTAGAGTGCTAGCCTTGAGCAAAAAAAATCTCAGGGAAGCCAGGCACCAGTGGCTCACACCTCTAATCTAGCTACTCAGGAAGCTGAGATCTGAGGATTGCGGTTCAAAGCTAGTCCAGGCAAGAAAGTCAGTGAGACTCTCATCTCCAATTAACCAACAGAAAACCAAAAGTGGCATTGTGCTCAGGTGGTAGAGCATTTGCCTTGGGCTGAAAAGCTAAGGGACAGTGCTCAGGCCCAGAGTTCAAGCCCCAGGGCTGTTTGTTATTTCTTTTTTTGTTTTTAAAAGAGAGATAGCTCTAATATGACCTTCGTTGTGATCATTTGGGTAAATGCCCAGAAGTGGGATTGCTGGGTCATAGGGGATCTCAATGCATAGTCTTCTGAGGAACCTCCACACTGCTTTCCAGAGTGATTGAACAAGTATATACTCCCACCAACAATGCAGTAAGGTTCCCTTTTGGCCAAATCCCCTCCAGCACCTGTTGTTATTAGAGTTCTTGATTATAGACATTCTAATTGGGGTGAGGTGGAATCTCAATGTTGTTTTGATTTGCATTCCTTTTATGGCCAGAGAGGTTGAACATTTCTTCATGTGTCTATTGTCTTTAAGTCTTTAGCCCACTTATTAATGAGGTGGTTGTTTCTTTGAGGAGCGTTTTGGGGGGATTTAATTTTTGAGTTCTAAATATATTTTAGATATGAGGCCTTTGTCTGTTGTATGGCTAGTGATGATCTTCTCCCAATCAATGGGCTTTCTATTGATCTTGCTAGCTATGTTTATTGCAGCATTGTTCACTATAGCTAAGATATGGAAACAACCCAGATGTCCCTCAGTAGATGAATGGATCAAAATGTGATACACACCCACACCCACACACCCACACAATGGAATTCTATGCTTCCATAAGAAAGAATGACATTGCCCCATTTGTAAGGAAATGGAAAGACTTGGAAAAAAATCATATTAAGTGAAGTAAGCCAGACCCAAAGAAACAGTCATATGGTTTCCCTTATTTGCAATAATTAGTGTATGTCTAGGATAATCTTAGCAGATAAGCAAAGTAGCTCAATATCTACGTACATAAGACCACATAAGATGATGCTAAGTGAAATGAACTCCAAGATATGGACACAAGAGGCTTTTCTTTTGTTATTATTGATTTTTTGGTTTCTTTTGTATGTTCTTCCCTCTATGGTATATCCCCTATTGTAACTGTATTTGATTTTGGTATCCTGGTATTGTATATATGTTTATTTGAATTAGGAAAGGGAAGGGGAACAACAGAATGGTGAGAGAAAGGACAAGGGGGAACCAATCCAACAGTGATAAGCACAAGACAATATGTGGGAAATGATCTATACAACTTGTGTGGGGGGGTGGTTAGGGGAAGGGACAGTAGAGAAAATTGAGGGAAGGGGTAATAAGTTTGACAAGAAATATACTCATTACCTTACTTATGTACTGTAACCCCTCTGTACATCACCTTGACAATAAAAAAAAAAAAAGAGAGAGTAAGAGTGGTAAGAGTCTAGTCATGGTCCCCAAACTGGCTTTGAATGCATGAACCTTCCTTTTTAGCCTCCAGCATTGCTGGGATTATAGGCACACACCATAGTGCCCACCTTATCATGACTATTTTTCAAGGTTTTATACAGGTTCTAACTACAAACATTCATAAGATCTCTGGGATTCTACTTTAATCTAAGGCAACATATTTGTAATTAGGTATCATCACTTAGGGATCATCCACTTTTTGGTACACCTCCCACTTTTATATCTATAGTACATCTTTAATATAAGGGCTTAAACCAGAGATGGTCAAACCAACACGTTTCTTTTTTGTTTTGGACAGAGTCTCCCTAGGTATCCCAGGCTAGCCTGGAACTCAATATATCCCCTAGGCTGGCTTTGAACTTGCACTCTCCTGTCTTTGACTCCCCAGTGCAGGTATTATAACATGCTCACCAGGACTGGCATCAATAAGATCTTTTGATATCAATTTTTAAAAATAGAAATAGATTCTTAGCCACTTCAGTGGAAGCACATGCTAAATTGACAAGATTTAACTTTGCTACTTCTGTTGCTTTCTCTTAGTCACTCAATCCTTCAAACCTGAGTGGTTTTCTATAAAACAAACAGTGCTGTGATAAAAGAACTGGGTGATCATTTGAGCCTCACCCTTGTTCATCATCATGCTTCAAAGAATAAGAGGGGTTAAGGTATGAAACTGTGTATTTCAAAGAAAAGACACAGAGAGAGATGGAGAAAAGGTAAGTGGGTGAAAAGTGACTTCCAAAGAGTCTAAAGTGTTATTATATTCAAATGCCACCCCCCTTAAGAAAGCAAGTTTAGGGACTCAGTTAGCTTTGACTATTCAAAATGGGGGAAGACATATTCTAGAGTCCTACAGCCTACATGCTTCAGACTAAGGAGGGGAGGAAAAAAGGTTGAGAATGTGTCTGATAAAAGGTAGTTGTATTTATACAAAGGTGTGTGCAATGAGGATGAGGAGCCATATGGGTACTTAGCTTAAACCAGGGATTCCTAAAGAATGGGTACCCTGGAGCATAGCTTCCTGGATCTTCAAGTGAAGCAGTGTTATTTGATTAAATGCCATTTAATGTTAATACAAACAAAGAGTATGATATAGAACAAAATGCACATTTATTTACTTATTTACTTTTAAGATCCAACAATGGACAATGGTGTGTTCCACATGTCAGTATGGTTTGGAGTATAATATCTTTGCTACTGATGGCAAGTATGACTGGCCTCTTTACTAGGGGCACTTTGTATTTAAGCAGAAGCTTGTGATCTGCTGGGAAATGGAATCATACTGCTTTTTAAAATGCTAGTGAAAGTTGGGTGTTGGTGGCTCACACCTGTAATCCTAGCTATTCAGGAGTCTCAGATCTGAGGACTGAGGCAGGAAAATTTGTGAGACTCTTATCTCCAACTGACCACCAAAAAGCTAGAAATGGAGTTGTGGCTCAAGTGGTAGAGTGCTAGTCTTGAGCAAAAAGTTCAGGGACCAGCAGCTAGGTCCTGGGATCAAGCCCTAGGACTAACACAAAACAAAACAACATAAAATGCTAAGGAAGATCTTCAGAGACATCCAACCTCAAGAATTCAGTGTGGTTGGGAGGATGAGAGGGCTTAGAAATTGCTTTCTGAACACTGTGGAGTAAGAAAGAGAAGCAAGCAAGGAAATATAGTAACCAACAGGAACCTAAAAAGCTATCCCAAACATTAAAAATGGTTCTCATCTGGATGGGCAGTGATGTCAGGCATTCTTGACTCCCTTTTCCTTCTAAAATAATAACTGGCAACTTAAAAAGCAGCCATTGCTCAGTGGTGACATTTTCTTAAGGAGTCTATAGAGGCAATGCTGGGTAGAAAAAGCACATGTCCTAGTTCACATATAAAAGAGTAACACATTCACTATAAACTCTAGCTAAACATCTCTTACCTAAATCCAAATTTGTCCATCGCAACAGAAATGTGCCGTGGCTGTGAGAAACACCTATAACTGTTATGATCATCCATAGGAATGAGGTCGACATCACTAAACACAAAGCAGTTGTAGTCATAGTCCTTCAAGGCCTCTCGAAAGCCAATATTGAGGAGCTTAGCACGATTGAAAATGGTGTCTCCAGCCTGGTTTAAAAACAAAAAGTGGGATTAGAAGCTGCCTTTGAGCAAAACGCATGGAGATCATTGTCATTAGTCAACTGATAGGCTTCATTTTTCTACTTTTACTTCACAAATCAATCCTGTCAACCCTCTGAATCAGCAGCTGCACTTCTAGGACTCTGTCCTACATGTAAATAAGTTTGGACAATATTCACTGTATAACGAGCATCACTGCAGAAATGTGCAAACAACAGAAGCAACACTGGGGAACTAGTTAAGTCACGTATAACTACACAATGGATTAGAGGAAATAAAGGGAAGAAGGAAGAAAAGAAAGAAGTATGAAAGGGGAAGGAAAGGGAAAGGAAAAGGAAAGGAGAAGGGGAAAGGAAAAGGGGAGGCAGGAAGGGGAGAAAAAGAAGAAGGAAGGGAAAGGGGGAGAAAAAGGTAAGAGGGGAAAGGGAGAGAAGGAAGGGTGAGAAGAGAGGAAGAAGATAAACAAATTACTTGGAATCTTGGGTAGAAGGATCTTGAGTTTGAAGCTAGTGGGGGCTATACAGCCAGACTCTTGCTCAAAAAATAAGAGGGCTGATGATTGCAGTTTAATAATAAAGTGGTTGCCTAGCATGCTACATCTGGGGCTCAGTCCTCTCTAACACCCGGAAAAATTATTATAATGAATGTTTGGGTTAAGAAACTGGCTGAAGTAGAAGAGTAACTGTCCAGTGAGCAAAAATTAGTGAGTTCAAACTCCAGTAGCACTTACACCAAATAAAATGCTCTAAAAGAAAAAGTGTTCCAACATATGTCACACACACACACACACAGATAAACTCTAGGATATATATACAGGAAATGGTGACAGTTGAGTGCCTTTCTGTTTCTATCCTCTTTATAAGGCTGACTATGGTTTAGTGTCAGGCAGTAAACTAGGTGCTACAGAAACAGCAAACAATTCAATCCTCACAATGTAGGGTTGTCTGATCCATACCATACAGAATCAGGGTATCTGAGAAAGTGGCATCTGCTTCAGGGTGCCAGCTACAGAGGCCAAAGTACAAATACTCATTGTCTATTGATTTATCATGTTGCTTATTTTCAGCATCCCCACCAAAATAAACTCAGTGAAGACTAGGACTGTTTGGGCTTTACTCACCTCTGTGCCCCATGTCATACAATAAGAGCTCAATAGTTGCTAGATGGCTGGATGAATGAATGAGAAAACAATGAATCTCAAAATACAATGGCAGATGGAACCACACAGCCACTTTAAGAGTCACCGTGTGTGTGTGTGTGTGTGTGTGTGTGTGTGTGTTCTGCTCTGTACTGCTAGATTAGTACATAGTCCCTGTCTACTTAGCTGTTCATGAAGCCCTTTCACACAAATGTTCTCATCTCAATATCATAACACTGGCACAAAGAGATGAAGCTCTACCATTGTGGAATTATTACTTGTGGCTCTGTTTCCCATAGCTCTTAGGATCAATATGTCAGGATCTCTATTTTGGGTATACAATGGCTAACAGGGGCCTGTAATCCATTCATCATCCCAGAAATGGCTAAGTCTTCTCTGCATGTGCTTGAAAAAGGACTTGGAAACTGGATCCACAATGCTGCCCAAGTACAGAGAGTATACTAGTGCTCAGTCTCAGGCGGATGACTTAAAAACAAAGAATATATTTAGAGAGAGAGAGATACCAGGAAGTCAGAAAACATAGCCAAGAGAATAGTGAATTAAGAAAACATCTTACACATTAAGTGCTTCTTTCTTTAGCCCTTGACAAAGCTAATACACAGAAGAAGGCCACATCCAAAGGTACACTGTGTTCTTTGGCTGCCCCACCAGTTAAAAGAGTCCATCTGGAATTCAGTATTCATCTAATTCCACATAAGTCACGGGGCAAAAAATTCAAACTTTAGAGATGACTATGAAAATTATGAAGTTATCAGGATTATTATTGTAACAATATATTGTTAATAATACCAAATACAGGGGGTTATTATGACCTAGGAATGAGTTAAGTGCACCTACATGTATGGCCTATTATTTGATCATCTCAATTAATCTTTTAACAACCCTTGCCCCAAACTAGACATACATTTTCTAACATGAAAACCCATTGACCACTTTTCTAACAAGTAAACAGGAACCATTCTCACGAAGCCTTGCATGTCTCTGTAGTAGACTCCAAAGGTGGCTGCTCATCTCACATCTTTCTCTTGGCACATTCTCCAAGAGATTGACAAGGACTCTCAGTGGTCATTTTCTTCTCACAGGACCTGCGGGTCACAACTGTTTGATCTAAGCAGATGCCTAACAGAATGAATTCATCACCATTCCTCTCTTGGGAATTGGAAATATGAAATCATGAATGAGCATCTCTGAAAAAAAGCAGCCTGCAAGAGAAACCCAAGCAGACCTGCTTTATCTCCTTTCTCTGCTGGTGACCTAAAGCTCATTCAACTAAAAAATCTGGCTTATACTTAGAATAAGGCAATTTACCAATAACCTACACTATATACTACTTCTCTCATCCTGCTTTTCAGCCTGGTTTCATCAATAAGAACCAGGAGAGGAGACATACAGGGCATCTATTAGCTAGGAAGCCTAGATGGGCAGAGGGAAGAAAGTGTGTCTTCCTCTTCTTCCCTTGGTATTCTAGAAAAGTGAACATTTTTCTAGGCTTCTTTTGACTAAAATGTTGGAGTACTTACCTTTAAAAAAAATAAGAGGGCTGGGAAGGTGGCTCAGTGGTAGAGCGCTTGCCTTGCATGCTCGAGGCCCTGGGTTCGATTCCTCAGCACCACATAAGCAAAAAAAAAGCCGGAAGTGGCGCTGTGGCTCAAGTGGTAGAGCGCTAGCCTTGAACTGAAGAGCTGAGGGACAGCGCCCAGACCCAGAGTTCAGCCCCCACGACTGGACCCAAAAAAAAATAAAAAAAATAAAAAAAATAAGAAAGATAGCTTAACAAGCCCTACCCCACTAACAGACTGAATTAATCAATGTTCCTCTCTTAGGAGCTGGAAATTTGAAATCATGAACAAAAGTTAACTCATTATCCACAAGGGATGGCTAGACCTCCAGACTCTCTTCCACTCCTCACACCAGCATCCTCTCATCAAGTGCATTTCATTCATTCAAGTGAACATTTGTCAAGCATTTACTATTATACCCAGTTAAATGTACAATTGTGACAGATGCTTCCCCCCTCTTCTTTTTTTTTTCTTAGTTTTTTGAATCCAGGATGGTGTTGTACCCTTTTATCCTTTTGCCTTGTACCTAAGTGCTAAGATTATAGGCATGCACTACCACACTCTATCTCAGACACATTTTAAATCCCAGGAGTGCCAGCTTCTTCACTTATTAGCTAAGTGATTTTGGGCAAATCACACCTTTAGGCCTCTTTCTTCTTTTGTGTCATGGAGGTAACGCCAGATAGGTTTATTAAATGAGGCAGAGCATGAAAAGACCTCAGCATGCTGCCTGGCAAGAAATTGGATACTATAATAGTTACAAGAACAGGTTTTCCCCATCCACATTAAATTATCAAGACCTCTAGAATGTCTCTAGAATCTAACCTGGAGTCACCTTCTTTAGTGTTTGTGCCCTTCCCAAGGTCAAGATTCCTTCCCTAAATCCTGCTTCTCTGATGGCTAGAGAATTTCTCAAAAGGGATTAAGACTTAAGTTACTTAAGTATGTAGAGCTCACATGATTATAGTCTCCAGCAGCAGAGCAAAGTCAGAGACCTTTCAAGATTTATGAAATGTGTTTTAGGAAGTCACATGTAGTAAGGAGCCAGTACACTATACTGGGGTGTCCCTTTGAAAGACAACCCAGTCTTGGGTTTTTTGTTTTTTTGCGTGTGTGTGAGAGTGTGTGTGTGTGTGTGTTTTGCGTGTGTGTGAGAGTGTGTGTGTGTGTGTGTGTGTGTATGCTGATCCTGGTCACTGTACCTGAGCTTTTGTGCTCAAGGCTAGTGATCTACAATTTGAGTCACAGCTCTACTTCTGGCTTTTTTGTAGTGGCTTTGAACCATGATTCTCAGATCTCAGCCTCCTGAGTAGCTAGGATTATAGGCATGAGCCACCAGCGCCCAGATGACAACCCAGGCTTTAAAGGTAGGCTTCACCTTATGTTAGCCGACAAGACTTAGAATGATCTCTTCCTTCTAGGGCAACAGGAGAAGACAGACAGAAAGGAGAAAGGTTTAAAAAAAAAAACAACCAAAAAAACTAAAATCCCTAAATGAATGAGATTGTTGCAAGCATAAAGACCAAACAGACTTTGAGGACAATGTGGAGAGAAGACAGTTTTATGAGTAGAGAAAATACTACTTGGTGAAAGCAGATGAAAGGCTGTGAAGAAAGAATATTCAGGAAACTTTAAGAAATTCGGAAGTGTGGGTTGGGAGGGATGGGTGAAAACATTGAAAGGAGTAACACTGATCAAGATGCATACACTGCTTTGTTGAATGGCAACTCCTTTTAACAACTACTTAAAGATAACTTTTTTTTTGTCGGTCATGGGGCCTGGTCCTGCGCACTGTCCCTGAGCTCTTCAGCTCAAGGCTAGGGCTATAACACAGCACCACTTCTGGCTTTTTCTGTTTATGTGGTGGTGAGGAGTCAAACCCAGGGCCTTGTACTGAGATACCTTCCCAGCCCAAGATAACATTTAAAAAAAAGAAAGAAAGAAAGAAAGAAAGAAAGAAATTCAGACTGGATAAAGCCTGAATGAAACCTGAAAGCAGAAGCAGGTGAAATCATGAAAAGAAAGAAGGGGTGCAGGCTTGCTTAAAGGATTTATTTTTATTTAGGTCAAAGGGAGCCTTAAACTGGATTTTGCATGTCAAGGAGGAATTTGTGCTTCAATCCAAGTGAAGGCAGAAAGACAGGAAGTTATTATATAATTCATATGAGACATGGGAGCATAGGCAATAATAGTGGGCAAGAATGCCTTTTCCTGGGCTCAAAGTACAGGCTCCTCTTCCTCTTTTGCCTTACCTGCTCCCTGGGACATTA